AAAAGCCTTTCGAAAAGTTGGGAGTGGAAAGGGAGATTTGGTATTGAAGGAAGTTAGGTGTGGCTGGAAAATAAAATTTGTAAATTTATGTGTTGCGGATAAGAGGGTGCAGGTGCTGAAAGAAAAGTTTGGAGGTATAAGCAGGGGCATGGAAAACTACATTAAGGAGTTTATATTGTATCCTGAGAGCAGTAGAATGTCTTAGGTTTTAAGCAGATAAGCAACATGATCAGATATGCACTTTAACAAGGTGACTGTGACTTCAGTGTAGAGACTAGTGTGAGAAATGAGTTGATGGGGCAATGCCTATCAACAGGGAGTCCAGTTAGGAGACTCATAAGTACATCTTTAACTGATGTTGACTTTTATTCTGTTTGACTAGATTTTCTTCTTTCCAGATAGTTGTCCAGTTTGCCTTGTGGGCAGTCCTGTACTTTACATTTTCCATATATCTTTTTCCCACCTGGTAATCTTTCCAACACCATTTCCTTTCCCTCCACCTCCAATCGGATCTCACACCCACAACCTCTAAGATCTTCCATAATTCACTGTTCCCCGACCTGTTTCTTTGACTTTGTATTCACCAAGTATTTCATAAACTGTATCTGCCCGCCACGCATCTCTTCCTAAGAATCTTCTCTGCTTTCTCTCCATGTTCCTTATCTGTTCTTAAGAACTCTACCTAGGAATGCTAAGTGCTTTATGGGCATAATTGTTTTCTTAAATGAAGTTTAAAAGAAACTTTTTATTTAAAAAAAAAAAGAACAGTCCGGCTCTCTTTTTTCTTTCAGAAAAAAGAAAAGATGAAAATGCAAGGATACACATGGGGAAGACTAGAATAATTGGCTCAGAGTCTCACAGATAAAATCTCTGAGTGGTGAAACATTCTCTTTTAAGTGGTACAGCAATAATGAAACATCATGGTTTTTAAAATGGAGTTATTACCTGCTGGGTGTTTTTGTTAGTTCTATAGAAATCCTGCCAAAGAAGATGAAGAAAAACAGAGAAAGATTCTGCAACAGAGAGAGGGAATTTGTATATGAATTCAAAGTGGGAAGTCAGTGCTTAGAACTGAGGATGCCTCTCAAATTCCCTGTCCAGGAGAATGCCAGTCATTTACATGGACGTCTGATGCTGCTGCACAATTTACCGTGTTTCATAGAAAAAGGTGAGGACTGACTTTTTAAAATACCACTTTATTATTTTTCTATAGTCTCTGTCATTAGAAGGTTCGTATTATAAAGCATAAGCCTGAGAAACGTTGGAAACAACCACAAAATGTGAAACTTTTCAAGAATTAAAAGGCTCTCCAGGCCTTTGTTTTATTTTGTATTTTTTTTCTATATCCCTTGTAGTTGTTAGGCATTTTATTATAAAAATTAAAATTAAGTTTGATGAAAAATTGGTTACAGAGTCTAGATTAGACTTCTTACTCTCTAACTTTAGTTGAGTGAATTCATAAGTCATTTCAGTTATCACTAATTATGATATTATATAATTTTATGCTAGTGTATTGCCCTTTTAATGATCTGGCCCTCAATTCCTGAGATGTCATGAAAGAAGGGATACTAATCTTTCAATAATCTTTGCTTACCTAAATTATACCATAAAGTCATCTGTATTAAACAATTTTTAAAGATCTGTGTTCTGTCTACAGATGAGGAAAGTATTTTTCATTGAGAATATGTTGGATCATAGAAGGTTAACTTACAAGGAAACCTGAAAACTTTCTAGCACAATCTCACTCTACAAATAAGGAAACTGGTACATAAAATGGTTGAATTATTTGCCTACAGCAGTGGTTCTCCAAAATTGTACCCTGATCAGCAAGTACAGTATCACTTGGGAACTTTTTAGAAATGGGAATTCTTGGGTTCCATCCAATTTCTGCTGAATCAGAAACTCTGGGGTGGTGTACAACAGTCTATGTCAGTAGCCCACAGAGAAACCTAATGCTTCCTAAAGACTGAGAACTTCTGGTCTGAAGTTAAAAACGTAGTGACAGAGCCAAGATCAAAACCCAGGCAGGTATCCTGGTTTCTATCCCGGGGCTCTTTAATCAGTCTTTAAATAGTGTCTCTAAATTTGGAATTACAGATCATCTGAAATAAATCAGTTTTAATATGCTAATCACTCAATTTCTCTTTGAAATTCAAATAATGTAACAGTATATACCCTTTAAAGTTATGTAGAAAACTCACTGAAGCACAGAAACTTTCAAACCCTCTAAATCTGTCCTTTTCCCAACTCAGTTTCAAACAAAGAGTTGGTCTTAAGAAATTATCATTTTTTAGGTAAGCAACAAGGATTTACTGTATAGCACAGGGAATTACATTCAATGTCTCATTATAGCCTGTAGTGGAAAATAATCTGAAAAAAAAAAGTAACAGAATCACTTTGCTTTTTATGTGAAATTAACCCAGTATTGTAAATCAACTATACTTCAATTGAAAAAAATAATATCGTAGGTTTTTAAAAATAAATGAATAAAAAATTTTTTAAAAATTAACATTTTTAAAATTAGTATCAAGGTTATATATAGGAGTTAAGAGTTTTGACCATTCAGTAACCTGTAATTGTACAGAAAAATAATTGTGAGATTAGTTAAATGATGCCCTAAGCTGGTTTTATTTTAGTTAGACGTTCTGTATAGGCTTGATAAATTTCACATTGGAAAGCTTAGCTTAGCCAGGTGAAATGTTCCTGACCATGTACCATGGTATTTGTTGTCCGTCTCACAGACTTAAAAGAAGCTCTGAGCCAGTTTATAGAAGAAGAATCGCTCAGAGATCACGACAGAGATGCTGAAGCCTGCCTGGAGGCTGTGAC